TATGTAAATGATCTACAAAGCGAAGCATGTTTCGAAGTTCATTAAACAAAAAGTGGAATTTCTACAAAAAATGGATAAGGCATATCCTTTGTTTATTTAAACTTTAACGTTTGTTTATCTAAACTTTGTTATCTTTAACGCCGCGCAATGAATTGGAAGTTGATCTGTCAGCACTATCCTTATCTTCAGGCAGATGTTTTTATTTATTTGGCTTATAATTCCTATTAAATGTAGTATTTCATCTCGATGTACTCCATCTTTGATATGATTTAAATCAAATTCCTCGTCATTATAATTCGCTTCCAATAGCAAAGAAAGTGACAGCGGGTTATTAAAACGAAAAATTTCAATTGACAAATTGGGTATTCTCGACACAGCAATTATAGGACTTGAACAACGGAAACTTTGTAACTGAACAAGAAATTAGTCTGTTTAAAGAATTAAAGAGAAGTATTATCACATAAAAAACGAAACAACTTACATTGAAAGAAATGTTTAATAAAGTAAACAAATAAATATTAAGCTTTTTTTTTGTAAATTTTGATATCCTTTAGATCATAATTGTTCTTTATATCATAAATTACGGTTTCATATTTTTAATTTTATAATTTCTGCATGCCATCTTACCAGATTTAAACTGATGATCTAATACGGCAAAATTGATAATCCGGAATCGCCGAAGTCCCGGCGAGTCCGGATAAACGACTTTTGACTGTATTCAACTGTGCGTCTTCAAAATTGTCACCTCAAACTGTGCATCTTCAAAATTTTCTGTAGTGCCTGCTATTTCAGTGTACACTCAGCACCCCAGAAGCTATACTGTACTTTGGATATGCCTTTACTCCCCCCCCCCCCCTATTTAAAACAAGTAGTTTTCAGTTTTTATGCTTGTAATAAGCAATGTTAGCAGGGTTCATACGGTCTTTAAAAGTCCTTAGATTTTTTGGAATTGATTTTTGGTTCTTAAAAGTCCTTAATTTTGGCCAAAATCAGCAGAAGGTCCTTAATTTTAATCATCTGAAATTTCTGTCTGTGTTTATGATTGCCATTTTGAGTGTGAATTAGCATTTTGGAGGAATATTTTTGCCGATTCACTGACGTATCTTTTGAATGGGTTCATAGGTTATAATTTGTTTCTAATATAAGAGAGATGGGATACTTGAGGTTCTAAGCAAGAAGTGAAATTTAAGCATAGCAAAATTCATTGTTTTTTAATAAAGAGCCCTTAAACAAGTTTTTGCTCTTGGGGATGTGAATTCTTTTATTAAACGGTTCTAAATCTGGCGACTTATCAACATTTTAAGATCAGCTTCTATAGAAAATTTTTAATTCCGAGATCTGAGAATTTTTTGATGATTTTTGTTTTAAACATAGTAACATTGATAAAATAATGGTAATATATTGAAATTATATTTAAAAAATAACATTTAAAAAGAAAACATTTTTATTTTTTGCTGTCATATTATAAGTTTCATTTGGCAATTATATATTATTTTGAATCTGAAAAAAAAACAGTATAAAATATATAAAGCTCAATTTACGAAAAAGGTCTTAGCAAAAGCAAAATAGCAATGTAATTAATTAAAAATGTCTTCTTTTTAATTTTTATAGTAAGAGTTTTTTCCATGTTATTGTCTCAGAGTATGTAGAATTCTTAGAATATGCATCAGTTTTTCTCAATAAAATTAATTTTACATTTTTTCCCTCCCTTTTTTTTCCAAACTATTTCTGGCCTTTTGCTGCTACAAAATTGGTAGGGATAATTTTTTTTTTTTTTTTTTTTAGGATTTTAGACATTGCGACTTGGAAAGTTTAGAAGGCAAGATCTATAGAGCCCCGATTCTAGAAATATGTGACAAAATGAAAAATGTCTCTATGGTATCAACACGTAATTGATGTATTTTACAGAAAGTTTGCAATGAATTTCTTACTTTTTGGAGAACGTCTGGAAGAGAACATGAAAACTAATATTTGAATGTTTTACTTCTGATACTAGAATCTTAACATGTTTATCTTCTCTTTATTTTCTCTACTTTTCACTAAACACAAGCATGGAAAATATAAAAAATGCTTCTAATCTTGTCACATGGGCAGGCATTATAGAAACGAATTTTTTTATTAATAAAGAAATTGAAAACTTACAATTTAAAAGATTAATTTAATATGTGTTAATGCACCATACTCATAGCTGACATTAGGCTTTTTCCCCCTTGATGCAATCTTTGTAGATCGTAAATTCTGTTGCCTAATGCCTTTCTAAATGCATCCAATGCCAGCTCTAAATTCTAAAAGTTTTGCCATTTATAGACTGTGTTGTTCAGTGTGTCATTCAATTCTAAAAATTCTGCCACATCAGCTCTGTGACTGCCCTTTACCATATATATTTCATATTTCTCCTGAATACTCATATTACTAAAGAAATAAAATTAGCGGCTTTTTCTGTACATTCTAAATGCCTTTAGCGTTTTTTAGACTAACAGAAATCCTTAATTAAATCAAAAAATTATAAAATGAAAAGGAAACATGTTGAAGAAAGAAACTAAATACAAAAAGAAAATTATTCTTCAAAGATCCGTGCAGTTATTATTATATAAAATACCCAATTATTTATTATTTCAGACTTTACTATAATTTCCCATTTCTATTTTCTCATATGATAGAGTTACTGAGCCAACCCTTTGAGCAGCCAGGGTTTTTGCTAAAAAAGCACAAATTTCCCAAAACTGCTATGAGAACAAATTATGTTTTTGATTTTACTGTAAAAATTCTCCTGGTATTACATACCTGGATTTGTGTACTTTTGATATATTGCCTCAATTTCTTTGACATATTTTAATATGCACATATATATACGTTCTTACAGATATCACAAAAAATATTCTAAGCCATATATAAACAGCCTTGACGCTTAGAGGGTTAAAACTAAATTGTATAATCTTTGACCACTAGTCCATATTTTTAGTTTGAATTTGACTGTTCTTGTTTAATAACATTACCGTGAGCTGTATCATCATTTTGTTAGCATCAGAATATGCCTTTATGTTTTAAGTTCTTTTTAAATAAGAGGCTTATTTAAACCTTTGTTGTCTGATATTGCAATTACTTTCAGACATAGTGATAATTTACTTCCGTTCCTGTCGAACGTTTTGGACTATTTAACTTTTACCAGATCAAGTAAATGCTCATAGGTACATTGTGGAGAGGTTGATAAGTTAGAAGATAAATCGTGCAGAAACTAGAGAGAGAGAGCATTGGTTTTTGCATATTGAGACAAATCTCTCATTGTTAGAAAAGATGCTTAAAGAGAAGGAAATCGATATAAACTAGGCAAAATTGTTTGGGAAGACTTAATTAAATGACGGATAATATTTTGTTGAGTGTTGTTGTTACAAAAAATAAATTTTTTGTAGCTTTTAATGTGTAATTATCCTAATATCATTTAAGAATCAATGTCATAAATTACATGTATTTTAAACTGTGAAATTTTATTAGATTTTGATTTTGAGAGGGCTTTTTTTAACAAATATTGTTATAAAATAAAATTCAATAGTGGCCATGTAAATCCGTAATGACTGAGGTTATTAACCTACCTAATTTAGTTATTGATAACTAACTGTTTACGCTTAAAATTTTTCTCTACATATCAAAGCGAGTTATTGCCTTTCATTAATACTCACGGTGGTCAGGCCCACCAGCGGCCGAGCGGTAAAGACGCTGAACACCGGTCCGAGGTTCAAATCTTGCGAACAGGCTGGCTGCATGGCATTTTCTTGGTTTTCCCCATGTGTAACGTGTATATGAGCAAGTTTCCCTTAGAAAGTCCTCCACGAAGGCATCCCTCCCTTTAGGCAGATAGCCCTCGTGTGCTTTACCATAAATAATCCAATCCACTGTGGTCACAAGATAAAACACAAAAATATAAAAATTCATGTAAAATTTATTCTTTGCATCTAGTGAAACTTAAAATAATACAAAACAGCTTATCACGTCTGGTGCTTTAGTAGGCTTATTGGAACCTGTAAAGTATATTAACTGGGTTACAACCCCTGGAACTCTACACGAAAGCTACGATGACACTAACTGCATCAAGCAGAGCCTGACTGAACTTTCAACACTTGCTAACTGTGCCTACATCAGGCCTTTCAGGTTTGTTCTGATCAGCAGGTCTCTCTCTGTAGGCACAGCAGCAGCGGTGACAACATTCAGTCTTTTGTTATGAATCATTCTGATTCTGATCTTTACTTTCTTATTTTAAACTTATGCTGCATTTGACATAAAATCTACCCTACTATTTACTAAACCTCTAGACTGAGCCAAGTATGTGACAAACTTTCTCAGTCTAGAGGCATTAAACTATTAGTAAATCAAGGCATAAAGCTAACTGTTAGTAAAACGTAAATGTCACTTATCTTCTTTCAAATATGTCCAACTATTATAAATGTAAAATATTTAATGGTACTTAATAAATTGCATAAAGTTTATTTTATTCTCAAACTTATTAATAATTATGTTAATTCATGTTCAGTAATAATGCATACTACGTAGGGATCTATTTTATTTTTAGGATGATATTACAAAAGTGAAATTCAGGCATAGATAATATTTTTAACTGAATTTATTCAGTTCCCATTTGCTCATAGGTCCTTTCTATTAATGGTCCTCAAAAGTCCTTAAATCTACTTAATTTCCATGTGCAAAAATGTGTACGAACCCTGGTTACTTATTAAAAAAAGTGGATTAACTGTTCTAATTTCTTTACAGTATTTTTATTAATATTAAGAGGATAAGCGTAACATTCATTTTTCAAATTATTGATATTTAATTGCATGCGATGAAAAATTAAGAATGATACATTATTTTCAAATGGCTCTTCTGGAATTTTTTAGATTTTTATCTTTTGTGATCAAAATCATTAAAAATATATGTAGGCAATTAATGTTCTTTTTTTATTGCAAAAATGAAGTTCAATATTGTTTGAATTGTGTTTTCTTCCATTACAGGTTAATCAAATTCAAACTTTCTTATTGATGGAAGTACTGGTAGGGAGTGACGAATATTGCCGTGCTCAGCACAAATAAACTTTATCCAAACTAGTGAAGGAATTAAGTGTATATATTGTTTTTACTGTTTTTACAAAACACCTAATCTTCCAGAATCATCTACATATGGGTTTAACCACGTCCAAAAGAGAATTTTTATGCAAATTGCTTGTGCAAAATCTGCTGTACAGTTTTCTTCTGTCCTAAGGCATTGTTGGTAAAGTCATTGCAGCAGTATTAAAAATTTTTAAAGGTAAATATTTTTTTAAAAGTTTAGCATTTCTAAATTCCAAATAGAGCACAAGGAATGACCAGTATGAAGCAAAAATCAATGCGACCTGGACCATCAGAAATTACATACAAAACCATGAAGTTTTTAATCATGGATCGGCCGACAGATGCTACCATTCCTGCCTTACTTGAAGTAAGAATATTTTATTCTTAGTTTTAACTTTTAAAGTAAAACATGTCTTAATACATTTATTAAATTCTGGATGTGTGAAAAATTATGATTAGTTCTGTGTAGTTTTATTGGTTACTTATGATGCAGTGTATGCAATAGCAGTTTCTTAGCTCATGTATTTTGGTTTTATTTCTGAACTCTTGGATTTGAGGTTTAGTATTAATGGGCCAGGTCTTATGGCAAAATTTATGCAATTAAAGTGGCTGTACACCAGTGGTCTGAGACTTGATTACATGCAGGTCAGATGCACAATCTGAAAACAGCTGATAAGTTGACTTTTTTTAACCAAAAAAGAATTTCTTTAAAAAATAAGCAAATTTTTCAACTAAATAAAAAAATTTATTGGCTACATATTTTATTGGAACATGTATAAGTGGTAATAATACTGATGGAAAGAATAAAAGAGATCAAATTTATATACTCTCTGAAATTTAAAGGTCATCTGGTAGTTTGCTTCTGTTCTTTATTAAACTGTGGGAAAAAACTGTTCACATATAAATTTATTCCCCCAAAATTCTTGCTGCAACAATTCATACCTGAGTGTATTTATCTTTCGACAAGTATGAAAAAAGTTTATGTATCTTCAAATCTTTTAATGAGATTTATATGACAATGTAAATTAATCAGCTCCATTTATAGTTTTTCTGGTACTTTATTCACATTCATTTTTAATGGTTATGAAAATAATGTAAAATTGTCCTCACAATCAATAGCATCCTAAATCATTCTTCAAGTATTTGCTACAATAGTCATAACAGTGCTAATTAATTATGGGGAATATATTCCGAAGCCACATAGAATTTTGTTCGAATCACATGCCGCCACTTTGTGACTATATTTCAAGAGATTCTGTTTCAAGCTATAGACTATATTTCAAGAGAGAAGTGAAACACAAAAAAGTAAAATATAAAATTAGACAAAGCAATAACCTTCTTTCTGAGGCTGGCACTATCTTCCTGTTCATTTAACTGTTTGACTTTTGGTATAAATACAACTCTTTCTTTGCAGAATTTCTTCTCTCCTAATGATGAGAGACCTTAACCTGTTGGCATCAAAATCGATGGTCTTGGTTAAAATATATGCCAAACAGGAGGTTATTGCTTTGTCTAATTTTATTATAGAGTGTATTTCTATAATTAGTAATATTTGATGTTACATCTCAAAGTGAGGATAATTTTAGAATAGTTTCAGGATTGTGGAGAGAAGACTTTTATAATTATTAATAAACATGCTTTAAAAAGTTAAATGCAAAAAGTTGTTCTTTTTATGTACAAAAACTATGGAGACATTCATGATTTTCTTCAGAGCCAGGTATGAATTAAATTAGTGTAGTTTTATGCAGGAATGAACTTGCAGTCATCAAAACAAGCATTTTCCCCCTAAATTTTATAAAATGTTTAATTTTGTGTGGTTGAAAATTGATTCAAGTGCATAAATTTTTCTAACATTCTGCAAGTTTTGTATATGAAGGCATAGTATTTTTTGTATTTAGTTTACTAAAGCATGTTTTATCAATAGCTGCTTCAGTAATGTACGCATTTTATTGGCAGATAGAAAAGGCAGCTAAATCAATGTAAATTATGATAATTAGTAAAATTTGGTAAATTAATAAAATGAAATTTGAAATTAAACATAAGTAATCCCAAAATACATTTGTATGTGATTAGCTTATCATTTTTTTCTACTGAATGAATGAAGATTTCTTAAAATGTTAGACTTTTCTAGGAAACTAAGATTGATAAAAGTTATTTTAGAATGTCATTATGTAATTATTTTAAACTTTTAATTGCTGATTTGTTCTTAACCTTTTAAACATTAAAAGAAGTCAGATGTGTTCCTAAACATATCTAACAATAAATAATGTACTATTTATTTCCTGAAATGACTCATTTTAACAGTCATTTCCATTCCAGTAGTAATTCAACTAAATGAGTTAAATTAAAAATTTGAAAATAGTAAATTTAAATAATTTATATTAAATGTTTTCCTGATTGGAAATATTGAAACAAATTATATGTCAATTGTTTATTGATTTTTTTTATACAAGTAATTTTCTGCAACATTAATTTTTTCTGTTTTCAGTGTTTAAAAAATAATCTGAAGTATTATTTTAATAACAAAATAGGAAAAAATGTATTTGTTTTTTAATTTTACTTCCTGAGTATATCTTGCTGTAGAAAAATACAGGAAAAGGGAATACAGAAAAAGAGTATTCATCTTGTATTTTGTGCTTCAAAAAAGATAATGTCGACAAGATCATAAATCTGATCTAAGCTCCTATCTGTGAAGTTTTTTTTTTTTTTTTTTTTGTTTTTTGTTTATTTTATTATTAATGAAACAAAGAAGGTTGTGACAGTATTCTATTTTCAGTAGAATTTAGATATTTTGAAAGATTCCTTAAAACTTTTCACATGCCAATTATAAGTACATATAAAATATTTTTATTGCTTTTCTGGTTTTAGGTAATGACCCATTTTATCAATTAATTTTTCAGTAAAACTCATTTGAAATTTATTTCAATAAAAAAAATGTTTTTAATGACTACATGTTGGGACATTTTCTCTCCCCCTTCCTCCTAAGGTTTTGTCATGTGATGTTTTTTTATAATTATTTTTTATATTGAAACAGTGGGACAGAAGCAAATGTTTGAGCTTTTATCAGTAGCTGATTATGAGCAATTCAAGTTCTGTAAAATAGTTTTGGTACTTCCTTATTACGGCGGCCCCCCAAAATTTAATCCGTGATAAACCGAGATATAACATGTAACAAGGTATAAGAACACTGAGATTTCAGCAAGATATCTCGGTTGATTATCGATTCAATCTTGGGTGCCGCTATAATCAGGAAGTACTTTTTTTAGCCCCTTGTATCATCCGTAGCTAAGAAAACGAATGCAGGTGAATCCAACCATAATTTAGTGTTATGAAATAAATGTTCTCCACATTGTAAATGGATTTACATACTGTTAGATAAACTACTAAATATTCGTTAATGGAAAGGGAGGATATGAATTTGAAAATTGAAAAATTTAAGCAAAATTCACCCAGAGATTCTGCATTTGCTGAACTTTTTACTTCAAAAACAGAGATCTTTCTGCTTGCCTGCTTCAAAATTTTTTTTTTTAAATCATTGTCAGTTTAAGGTTGAATTTAGTGTAAATCTTAAAAGATAAAATTGCAAGAGAAAAATGATTAAATCTGAATAAGCCTTAATTGGCTGAGTGTCAGGAAAAGTATTTTTGTGTCATTGGACAATTGAGGTTGTTAGGTTGGATTGCCCAAAATAAGGGAAATAAACCATCCATCTTCTAATGTGCTTCATTTAATAGCATTCATGATGAGCGGGAAGAACGCACTTATCTATTGAGCAATGCAAATTTATGAAGTTCCTTACACATAAAAACACGAAACTAGGCAAAATTTACTGCAGATTGCAAGCCCAACGGAAAGATATCTTTCATGGTTGAGAATTTTGGAGTGAAATTTTGGTTCTATAACCAAAACTATCACAAACAAAAGCCTCACCTGGCCTTTTTAATTAGCTTTAATTAACAAAACACAAAAATAAAACATTACAATTACACCTCGGGGAAACAGCATGCTTAGTTCATGACTCCAGTGCACCGACTGAAGGCTATTATCTTTTTTGACCGGTGTTTCTTCTGGCAGCTGCTACGTAGCACTCACTGTGCCGTGGGCTTACAGACTCCCCCCCCCTCTGGCTCGTACGACGTCTTGTGGAAGAGCCAGAAATATGATGATTTGGTCTGCCTCGTCTCCTATACTCTTATTACCTGGTTTGTAAGACGTTGATGAGCATAATATATTTTTGTGCTTTTCATACTCTTCATTAAATCAGCATGATTCATCTGCAACATAGAATCTGGATGATTCCCTTCAAGCTTCATAGAATCAGGATGATTCTTTTCAAACTTCACGGAATCAGGATGATTCATTCAAACTTCATTGAATCGGGATGATTCATCACACAGCACAGGATGATTCTCTTCATAGAATCAGGATGATTCTCTTCATACTTCATTGAATCGGGATGATTGATCACACAGCATACAATCAGGATGATTTTCCTCATATTTCATTGAATCATGATGGTTCACTCTCAACTTCCTGAATCGGGATGATTCACTTCAAACTTCATTAAATCGGGATGATTCATCACACAGCATAGAATCGGGATGATTCGCTCAAAACTTCACGGAATCAGGATGGCTCTTTTCAAACTTCATTGAATCGGGATGATTCATTCAACGGCACAGAATCAGGATGATTCTCATCAAACCTTCATTGAATCATGATGATTCATTCAACAATACAGAATCAGGATGATTCACTTTAAACCTTCACTACATGGGGTTGGATCTCCCCCTGGTTCGAAGCAGTTCTCTTGTATTTTTGCAGTAAGTGATTTAATTGAGTATGCCGTTTTGTATGTAGATGTTTACCTTCGTCACTTCGAAGATTCATTCAAGTGGATGTTTCAAAACTTTAGCTTAATTGGAAATTTATGGAATTTTTTTTTACGTGTGTAATTAGCTCTTTGAGTTGAATCACTTTCAAATTATCCGAGATGGGCAGACCCATTTCTGTGGCTAACACTTGCAGATCTTTTTCTGGTTAGTCATAAAAATGCATTTTATCATACTTTCAATGTCCATTGAAAAATTCAATGTTTGAAGAAAAATTATATGTTTACAAATTTTGAGTTTCTTAATTACCCTTAACAATTATATAATATTTGAAACACAACATCGACCAAAATCATTAATCTGAGATTACTTCAAAAACAAAACTAATATTTTACAAAGATTGGTACACTTGCCAATGGACAATAAAATGCATAAGTTTAGTAAACATAAAATTCCAAAATAGAATTTTGTTAAATCTTCTATTAGTTATGCATGTGATGTCTACAAAATCCTAAATGCTGTAAGAAATTAATTT